CAATTGTATGTTAGCTGGATTGTATAATAATTTAATTATGTAAATGTTAATACATTGCAGTGGTTTTAATCTACGTATTTGTAAAATGCCAACGGAATTCAGTCGTGTTTGAAGGAATTCAGTACGCTGCAAAGTTGATTTTAAACAAAGATTTGATTTATTTATCTTCTTCACGTTTCCAGAAACGCAGAGCATGGCGGTATAGCTTGGATTGGTAAATATACGCCACTGTTCGTATCGATGAGCAGTATTTTGGAGATAGAAAGGATTTAAATCCAAATTCCAGGGAAGGACGTCTCTCTCGAATATACAGAACACCTCTGCCGCCGCAAATATGTCACAGTAGAAGCAAGGAGCTACCTCCTCGGTGAAAGTATGCAAAACTCGTCAAATTTTAAAAAAATGCACACAGAGAACTACGGCTCTTATGCACACATTATCACGTTTAATCACAATAACATAATGTTAAGTTACTGTTAGCGTATCCGTTTCCAAGTGAATTCTAAAATACTACACAAACTGTCGCGGAGGCACTGCGACCTTTGAAGTGACAGAACACAGTTTTCGCCCTATGGGGATTTCTATATATATATATGCACCCCAAGGTGGCTCACTTCGACGCGGTAAAATTATAGTAGGGTGCACTAGAGTAACACGGCCAACTAGTATTTTGAAATATACGGTTAATAATCTACAAAATAATAGAAAACAAAAAAGTTAATGTTTTTAACATCGTGACGACTTCTTTCATTTGGCCACCTGTGGAGGTCAAAGGAACTGCAGCCGGCTCACCCTGGAACGCAGTTGCGTAATGCGGCGCATTTATACACGAACAGGGAAATCTTCACAGTATGTATCTTGTACACTGTATCAGATTATACAGGGTACAAGCCGATGCATTTCTATACAACACAGCTCAGTTTACTCCTGATTACCTCTCACATAAGTCGCTTGATTCAAGGAGCTTTTATCACAGAAGAAGGTCCTTGCTTGATTCAAGAGTTCTGCCCGCACTACTTTCTATACCCACGCCCATTAATACTGTGTTCTCCGACCTTGACATTAAACAATACCATGACCTTTGACCTAATGAATATTAATTAGTAGTAGCGTGGGTTATGGCCGGCCGGTGTGTCACGACTTCGGGAGTGAGGAGCGAGTGTTGTTTTATAAAGTCAGTGTTGACCGATAGAGGACACAGATGAAGTAGCCAACGCCACAAGATTTTGAAGATCCATATTTCGTCTTCCATGCCCACAGGTATCTTGTTTTTTTTCATTCTCGGTATTAAAAAAATGCTGCGTTGTTTACAGCATTTAGTATCCAGGCCCTGGCAGTCACGGAGCCTGAGTCAGGTAGATATGCTTCCCGATTCTCCCTATCAAAGTCCCCCTTCCTGAAAGCAAAATCAGTGAGTTGTTGGAATGTACAAATTATTATCGTGATTGCTTTGACAGTACTATGTTGTTTATTTCGACGTTCTTAGATTTTGGAACGTTACCTCCATAATACGATTATTTTTTACGATATCTTCGAAAGTTCGTTTTCTACCGTAAATACTCATGAATGCATGATATTTACTCAAAAGGGTAAAGGTACCCATACACAAATCTCACAGAAATGTGCGTTTGTGGCTTCGCAAATTCGTCTTTTTTGCTTGATACATGATAGTTTGGTGTGAAGTTTGCGATTTGACCCAAAATGGTGACGTTCCCGATCGCGCGTTGTTGGCCCAAAATGGTGACGTTCCCGATCGCGCAATGTCTGCCCGAAATGGTGACGTTCCCGTTACGCGATGTTGGTCCGAAATGGTGACGTTCCCGTGCTTGCCATTTGGGAGCTGAGTAATGAAAACACATGCGGCCACTGTCGCTCTAGAGTGGTGAATCTCCCGGACGGGAGTCCGTGCCTCTACGTGGAGAGTTCCCGTGCGGAACTGTGCCTCTTACATGGCACAGTTCCCGCACGGGAAACTCTCCACCTCCCGTACCTCGGCTTACCTGCTAACATATATGATCAAAGAGCTGTTTGATGTAGAAAAGTAGAAAAAAAAAGAGATTGTAAAGATCTAGTTGCTTTCTGAGTTTAAAATGTCTTGAATTTTGTTCCCAGTTCGTGACCCTGGCAGACAGATCATGCTTGGTTGTGTACATCATAGAGGTTGTGCTGTCACCATTCCTGGGCATGCCTGGGAGAGTGGACCACGGGAGAGTCCATCAGATGTTAGGGGAGTCAGGGGTGGAACTCTCTGATGGAGCAAGAAACCTGATGAGACTTGTGGAGTCACAACAGGTGAACGGACTTAATTGCATTGGATACCTACCGCATCTAAGGAAAATAGTGGACAGATTTCACCAATGCACATTAGATATCCAGGTGTTCAAGACCTTTATAACACTGTTTCTTAATATTAGAAGCTAGCTGAAAAAGAGATTACAGCCAATAGCATGCAAAATTACCTGCACCACTCTGGCAGAAAGTACATTTGTACATTTAGATTTTATGAAGTATAGATCCAACTGGAGACTGTTAAATGAGCATGCCACAGGTAGTAATGACTTGTACATTACACAAAACAGGAATTTGTATGTGTTTGCTGAACTATAAAGTGGTGATCAACTTCAGATAGATACATCTTCCTTCTTTCAGAACCAAGGAAGTGCAATGGGTCAACAGACATCCAACATGGCTGCCCTCTTGCCCCTTCTGGGAATGTTCACGGGTAAAATGGGGGGTGGACTACCCCCTCCTGCCCCTCCCGCCCCTCCCAACATTCCCTCAGAAGCTGCTTCTCCATGTCCTCCAATCAGTAGTTCTAGACCTCCTGTATCCTCAATGACAGAAATGCAGGGTGGTGACTTTTCAAACATGTTGCAGAACCTAACATTGTCAGACCAAGCAGGGGCCTCAGGCCTGAATGGTGACCTGATGTTCTCCATGTTACAAAATGTCTGTAAAGAAGTCAGCCAAAACAGACAAACCTCTGGTGCAGATGGCAGACAAGTTCAAGGGAAGGAAACATCTAGTGTGGATGGCATGGATGTGGAAGACAGAGACACCAACTGCCAAGATGAATCAGGAAAAGTTCTAGTTAAAGAGGAAGTTAATGATAAATCAAGGTCAGTTCTGTTAGCCTAATCCAGAAACATTACATTCATATTCTTCGGGTTTCAATCTTATAAAGCATGCATCAATGGAACTCATATGTCATTCAAAAAAGTTGATTCAATTGTTGGTTTGTGTTTTGTACAATCCTGCAAACTTGCTGTAATTTTGACTATCATTGTTATAAATAGTGTTATTTTCAATTCTATATGTTTCTTGCTTTGTGTTGCGTCAAAAAAAGCATTTTTTCGACTTACAACTTTGTGTTTTTCTAGGTTTGTTACAGAGCATGAGATGTCTGACATGGAAAGCAGAATTATGGGTAATCTGTCTTCCATGGAGGAGAGGATCATGGGAAGGGTTGATGACCAGTTACAGGACATGCAGAACCGCATCGAGTCCAAGTTAGATGCTGTGTTAAATGCCGTTCTTAGCAAGAAGGAGAACAGCTGATCGTACAGTTAGGCATCATTTTTGTTGCATTTTGGATGGATTAACATGAATCTACTAAGTTAAACTAAATGTTTCAAAGTAAGGTTAGTCATGTACCCTGCCTCCATATAAGTTAGTTGTTACAGTTACAGTTACAGTGTAGGTTTTATATACTATATTAGATACCCCCAAAAGATTTTATTCTATAGGCTAGGTATAATTAGTCATAACATACCAGTAATGAACATATGATATATGTGTTACTGCCTTTGCATAGCAAACTACTGTACATTGTCAGTGTTCTTCAAAACTACAGTGTTTGACGACCAATTTGTTGCTGCTTCACAGACATTGTGCCAATGATGTGGAAATATACATGTGTACAATTATGCCTTGTAAGTCATAGAATTGATGAATGACACCACAGTTCACAACTCAACAGTACATGTAATACCTACTCATTTTGCTTTATGGTCTGTACATAGAACATCACACATGTATCTAAGTACATGCGATACAGCATAAAGTGTTTTTGTAGAATGAGTGCTTTTAAAATGAAGTTGCCAATGCTGACTGTTATTGTCAATAAATTAGTTGCAGTGAAGTCCATGGTTGGTATTCAGACAAAGATCCCTGTGCTTGCCAGGCTGGTTGTGTTACTCCGATTGCTCCACCCATAAGGTGTCTTTTATTTTTGTATAAAAGTTGCATGTTTTTTTAAGGCCTTGATTTCAATGCAGGCAAATGAGAATGGATGGATTAGTGTACTACACATGTACTGTATTATTTATTATGATTGTTTGTTTCACCATCATTGAGCATACTTCATGGAGCTGATCATTTTTAACCCAAGTCCTCTCTGCTAAACCAGTGGAATGATACATGTACGTACCTGACTTAAGTATTTTTCATTTTAATCAATAAAATGTAAACCAGGTGGTAACCAGGGATTGCTGCTGATGTCTGTTTCCTCTTTTTAAGAAAAAGGATGGATAAATACCATCTTTTCCTGTAGATGCAACCCCATATATTCTGTGCACTGTGTATAGTTAAACCTTTAGTAGAATTGTCTGAACAGTGTCCCTTAGGCCATACCAATTTTATTTCTTGGTTAACGGATTTTTTTAGAAAAATAATGGAGCGGGCGGGCGAAAAAAAATAAAATAAAAACAGGGTCTAGGCATCCTATTATTGCCCAAAATGGTACGATAGGAGCCATGAAGTCAACACACCAGGCTGGTTCAAAATTTAAACATATGAATTTTGAACTTTTAATGATACCATTGCATTGAAAGATGGAATAACTGTAACAACTAGGAAGAAAAGGACTGTTTTCAACTATTAAGGGCAAAATACGAGCATTTTGCAGTTGATTCAGAATTTTTATTTTTATTTGCAAATCAGAAAAAAATGAAGCGGGCGAATCCGTTAACCAAGAAATTAAATTGGTGTGGCCTTATGGGTTGAAAATAGAGCCCAACCCAAAATACATTTTTCAAAACTTTTTATTTGGTATTCCTGTAGTCTACATCCCTATACGAGTGATCACCATGATGTCATGGTAGGCAAAACACAGGTGACGGTTGGTTGATTTGCCTACCTAAAACATGCATATGTCTTCAAATAATTTGCTTTCATATAATGTCAACAAAAACAGCGATCGCTCGTTGTATGCAAAGTTTATCAGTTACGAAAATGATGTCCTGACTTGCATAATTGATATCCATTAGTGTTGCACATGTCACATGTAGGAAAAGCTTATAATGGAATTATGGAATTTCCTCATTAATCATGGTATCAGCCCAGAACTCTTCATAGTAGGGCTCCCAAGACCTAAAAAAAATGGGACAAATCCAAAATCTACACTTAGAGCTGTCTTGCATCATTTCATGTCTGGACTTTGATCTCCATGTATAGAATTTCACCTGCAGAATATTGGAAAGGAAAATTATTGTAACCATTTCTGAGTGTCCCATGCAGGTTTCAGACACAGAATCCTCTGATTAGGCAGCAGTATCAAGTGCCACATGCTTCAGGGCGATATCATAGATGAAAGGCCATACTTAAGATAGGGAAACACCAGGGAAAGAGGTGGCAGGGTGCCATGTATACAAATGGGGCATCACTATCACCAACCAGTCACCTACTTTCTGCTAACACTTTCACCACTTTATCTTGATGCTCAAAGATACTGTGTACTGTAAAATCATTTATATTTGTGGCATCTAAATTTGGCAGCAGCACTAGAATCAAGGTTTGCAATTGTACACAAATTTACTTATCCTAATCATGATTTCATTTGTGTTAATTTCAGCATAGAGTGCTAGTACTCTGTTTGAATTCTGTTATCTACTAGGGCCACGGTAGAAATCAACAAATTGTTGACGGGGGTACCCAGATTTACTGGTAGATAAATAAAGGTTCAGTTCATAATTTATGTGCTGAGCTCACTGTGGCAAAGTGATAGCAAACAAAACATGAGCTCAAAATACAGCAAATATTTCAAGATTTACAGTTTTCATGTGGCTACAAGTGAGTCCAACCGGTACATCAACTCTGCATTTTCCACCAGCCACCATCTGAGCAATCCACTTCAAAACAACTCCTTATCCATCTCCCTGTGTTGTGATGTGGTATTGGCAGCTCTACAGTTGAATTCAGGTCACTGGTTTCAAATTCAATACCGCTAATTAGAGACAGCATCCTTCTGAGCTGTGCAGATTTTGAAGTGCTGTTTTTAGCTTGTCTGTGTGCTTCTGCAATTCTCTGTATTGCTGATCTGCAGTTTCCATATACTAGAAAGTACATCTTCAGTCTATTGCTTGAATTGTTTATAACTGCAAAGCAGTTTGGATTAGGGTAATTATGCTATCACTGATTACCTGGTTTACTTATTTACTTGGCTTTGAAATCTGCTGTAATAAAATCTGACAAGTAACAAGACAATATCAAGCATACCTTCTCAACAAGTTTATTAACAAAATGAGTACTTATTACAGAGCATATATCATAAGGAGTACCTCTAATAGTCTACTTAATACTGCCAGACATAGATAAGGTTTACATGACTTGGCAGGAGCACAAGAAGGTTGTAGGAACAGGAGAGAACAAGTGCAGGGAAGGTCATCAGGACAGCCACAGCCAATTCTACACACAAGGAGCTGACCACTGGAAACCCTCTGTTCTACCATAGCAGGGATCTTCTCTTCAATCCCTGTTGTCTGTACAAGGGTAGATATAGTATGTTACAGCTGGCACAACATAATAAACACCTAATCCAAACATTACAACATCTGTTTTTGACACCAGTGGCCAGCTTCCCTTGGGTTTTTCTTCACCAAACTCAAGAAAAGCATCCCTATTTTTTTTGGAAAGTTGCAAACATGCATTGACACATACATTGGTCCTGCACACAAAATGGTATAAAAAGCCAAGATTTGATCAATACGGTTTCTTGCTATCAATATTAACACTCCGGAATGGAAATTGTGATTGCAAAGTCCACCCATCGTGCCAAGATAATGCATTTCCTTATTTTGGACATTCTTGTTTGGAGTAAGTGGGGTTATGTTGGTATTGCTAATTACATGTACTTCTCAACATTGGCATATAAAAAGAAAACTTATAATCACAATTTGCTTTACACAGACATGCACCAAAGATGTACTTCAAGAACTTTTGTAACCAATTTCTTACACTTGCTAAAATATCAGGGCAGTTTACTGTGATTCTGAGGCTGATTACATGGGCATTTTCTACAAAGTGCAGAGAAGTGTATTTTGTGTGAGCGTATTTTGTTTGAGTGTATTTTACAATTCCAATAAAAAAAATCCCCATGTACAGAATCTGAACTAAAGAATTCATAACAGTGATAGACTCTATTCTGCAATACAGTATTCCATTGTTTCTGTGTATTGACAACACTGTATCGGCTTTAGACAAAATGACTAGTAGCTGCTAGGTTTCTGAGAACAATTGTGGCACATTTAGTCTTAAAACATGGTTGATTATAGTACAGAGGTAGATGGCATGGAGCAGCCAATACAATTATAACAGAATGGCAGATCAGTACATATCTTAATATATTTGTAAATGAAGGAGGGGATATAAATGATGAATTGCATATAAAATCAACAAGCTCAAAACTAAACAACAAAAGATCAGTAATTATTTGCTAAAGCTTTGAGCTCAGGAAGTGTTACAGGTAGCAAGAAAAATCAATATCATTTGATGACAAAATTCATCAACATATTCAAACATTTGTGCCCTCAGAACTGACAGGACAATGCCCCTTAATGAGAATCTCTTGAAACTGGTATAAAATTGACAATGAGAAGTTCAACTTTTGTTGGTAACATGTATTATGTAAAACCTAAGGTGATATAATGTTTTAACTATTTTAACTGTCTGCTATGATAAATATGATGATTGTGTCATCAAATGTGTTATGATGAAATACTAATGTAGTTGATAACTCACAAAGCCTTTATCAAAATGAACTGATTATCAAGCACAGTAGTAATTCGCAGAATAGGGCATTGTTCATTGTATGACTTTCCTTGTTACTGATCCTACCACAGAATTGTCTTTACTATAAGTGATATACTCAAACACATCAAATCAGCTGCTCTGTCTTCAAGTGTTGGTACTAAAAGTCCTTGTTGTTGTACACGATAAATTTTGTAAACTTGAGATAGTTGGTATGTTATATTCACAGAAAGTTCCCATTGGAAACTCATTTGTCAAGGTCCATTCTTCCCCTGAGAGATGCCCACAGGCATGAACCTCACAAACAGAAGTCTGGTTTGGACTTTGGCCTAGCTTTTTCTACCATTTCTATCACATTTACACTATCGATAATTGAAACTTCTAAATATGCTCCTTTACAGTTGCAAGTATGTGTAAACTGCAGCTTGCTTTTTCCATACTGACAAAGGTATGTGACATCAGACTGGCAGAAGTTTTTAAGATGACTATGAAAGTTAGTACAGTCTTCTTCCAATATAAGCTTTTGGATCCCCCCTCAATATAAAACAAGGTCAATATACATATCGAACCAATCCAGAACACACTGAAGTTGGTGCTAGTTATCTCAAAGGAGTTTATTTAAGACCATATTGGAAATGTAACTACAAAATCAAAGGAAACATTTTCAATTTTTGCACCTACATAACTTTAAATGTCTGATCAGGACTTAAGTTCTCAGTCAATAATGTGATTCCACACACCCTGCCAGGTATTTTTGTGTCCTTTTCTCTCCCTTTTCTCTTTTATTTCCTGTAGTACAAGATACCGGCGTCACATGGCGTACTTCTTGGTCCATTCCTTTGCGAGATCGTTATACCGTGGTTTGTCCATCTTGTAGATCCGCGCTATCTCCGGCACAAGGGGGTCGTCTGGGTTAGGGTCACATAGCAGGGAACAGATGGACAACAGGACCTACAGGTGGGACAAAAATGATTGTTGATAATTTTTTTCTTAATTGGCAAGGTTTGGACAATACTATACCACAATACTGGTCATGGGAAAATAACTACAGCAAACTTACAGCTAAACACACAAAAGCTTAATAATTGGTCATTGGTCACTAAAAATACAGAAATGCTTGATGGATAACAGGACCTATAGGCTGGACAAACATGACTAGACTCAGCAGTTAGGGGGCAGATGATTCAGAATTCTTGGTAGATGAATCTGTTTTCCTAAATTGACAAGGTCTGGATGGTACACCGTTAATTATTTTATTAAGATAAAAATATCAATGTCACGAATGTGCAAGTATGAAGGTTTTACGCTTAAGACAGAATACACAAAAGCTTAAAAATAAGTTACTAAAAATAGAGGTCGTTGCTTTTTTTCTTCTTCATATGTCTTGATTCTCATAAATACGGATAAAAGTTTGGCTTGATGCTTGGACATTATTTTATGAATTCATGTTTCTGACTCCTTGGGTTACTGAAAAATACATCAAGGACAAATAGGGAAAATGATTTGCTAGAGGATTTTGCCGGCCATATAGTTAAACACAGGTAGCCAACTGGAAAATTATCCTCATACAAGTAATTTGGCCTTCTATACTATTTTACAGCGACCTAGCTGTCCGTTGGAGACTAGAAGACGGGGGCCAAAAATACAAGTTCGCACTTCCTGCTCCTCATACGTCACTGAGGCTTTTGTCCTTTTGTTTCAGAGTAACATGGCGGTCGGTAAAGACTTCACATACAGCACCGGCCGCATGATTGTACAGGATTAACTCACATACTAAAGCAAAGGATGTCTGATCGGAAAATTAGCTTCAGGATCGTCAAGCTAGTGCCCGATTGGAGTGGTTTTTATCGGATTATCACAGTGCGAACAATCCAGAATTTGCATGAACACACGCACTTGGCAACCGAACGATGACAGCTTTTATACTGTTACCTTAAGATTTTTTCCCATTTTCGTACCGTACAATAGTTTTCATTTTACACGCAAATGTCAAATCATAGTTGATAGGATGCCTGCTACACAAACTGATGGTGAAATGTGAGGAGAAAATTACTAGGAATCAACTAGACTGAGGGAACATGAAAACGTTGAGGTGAAAAAATCCGTTGTTCACCTTGGAGATTGTGAGCGCTGGAGACCACTGACTACGCAAGATATCCAGGCAGATAGAGCCGTTGGAGTTGATGTTGGGATGATAGATTCGGGTTGTAAAGGCCACTTTAGGCGGCTTGAATGGGTAGTCTGTTGGGAAGTGGATGGTTAGGAAGAAAACCCCTCCCTGATACGGGCTGTCCGGCGGCCCCATGATGGTGGCTTGCCAGTGGAACAGATCATCTCCGACTGGGCCGGCTGAGCACTGTGCTGGTGGGTCCCGTCCCAGGTCCTGCAGCTCCTTCTTGATTCTTTTCAACGCCATTGTGCCAGAAGAGCGTGTAACACGGCTTTAAACTCTACAAGTCCGCCAAGAAATTCGACAAATTCTGCAGAATGTCAACCTTTTTTCGCCTCTATCGCCTCAAACGGAATGGCAGTTCTCCCAGCAGCCTTTTAGCGATCCTGTCAGGTGACCTGGCGGTGGGTAGGCACTAGTACCTAATTCGGTATACGGCGATTCGTAAGAATGTGTGAGCTAAAATCATTAAAATACACCGTTTTTTAAAGCAGTTATATCCAGATATGAACCTAAAATTGCTTTTAAGTATTTTATATACATTCAAAAGAAATTTAGACACATTTTATCGTGAAAATGATCTACTTTGTGTAAAACGAAAGATATAGCTGAATGCGAAATAATGTTACTGTAGACCGCCCTATTTTAGGAAATTGGTGAGTCATAGTGAGGCAGTGGGTAAATCGTCATCACGGGCAAAACCGGAACCCAAGAATGCGACGGGAAATTTCGTGACTAAGTTTCACTTCCCCAATAGTAGGATTTAAATTCGAAACTTAGTCAATATTTTGAATCACAGATTGCTCCTACGTCACGACAGCGGCAAATCCAGACGAAACAAAAAAGTCCATTTCCTTACACCCCCCTAAGTTTGAATGGATCGCTCCAGGTGCTGCATTCTTGAAGCACCTTCAGAGCTGGATTCACGTGCATAACAGGTGGACAGGTGTTTTGACGGTCCTCTTGCAGCTGCGCGAACGTTTGAGATGTTTTCTGACGAAACCCTAGATGTCATTGAGTTCAAGTCATCTTGGAAGAAAGAAAGGTGCCCATTTCTCGACTCGAGTCTGTGGTGTTCAATATTTTTCGTGAGGTAGAATTCAGGAAGCCGGTGAATGTTAGTGCAGAGAGAAATATTTTGTTACCGGTTTTGGGACTGCCATATTATTGCCATCATTGAAAATTTTGAAATAATCTTGGTACATTTATTGTGTCAACTACTCGTAACTTCATCATATTGGGGTTGCAGGATTATTCGAACATACTGTAAGTTCATTTATTTTCCTATGCTCCTGTGGCTTAATTTCATGGTAGAATAGTTTTTCACAGTGTTTTAAGTTATGATTGAAACAATTTTGTAGTACAGTAGTAATACAATGGAATTTGCACTTCGTGGCATCATGATTTTGTGGTGGAGAGGTCACCTTGATATAAAATGCTTGCAAACATTTAAAGATTTACAGTAGAAAACAACAACAAAACTATCTTCCCCACTTACTAGCAGTTGTGCAATATTGTCATACCATTGACTGGCATTTTCCTTTCAGAAAAAATAACAAACTTCTGTTTAAGTGTTTTTACCAGCCAAAGTTTCTTTTATGACTCTTAATTCTTTTGCAACCAAAAACATGCACACCAATCACATAACTTTATTAAGGGTTGGGAAATGTTAGGGTACTAGTAGCTAGTCCTTATCCTACCACAGGGAGAAAACAACAAGGTTTTCAAATTCAAAAGGTTTGTTGTTACATTTGTTAGCGCCTAACATCACATACTGTACATTGTCAGACGTGTTCGTGATGGCAGCACCCAGACCAGTGAGATCATCACCAATGATGTTGCAGCTCAGAGTGTAGACAGGCATGAAATAGAGGTGAGCACTCATGTTGCACGTGAAGTGCAAGTGTCAAGATTACTTTTCAGTTTTAACGCTTATTGGAAGCTCAATGAAATTGGTGTCAATCAGCCTACCCTACAGCCACATGTTAGTATAGCTTTTTTCTGTGAATTATTACAAATGTAAGTTACATATTTTAATATCATCTACTATAGAATTATGTTTTCTTGATTCCTGTTTATAGTTATGCTTATAACACTAATGAAGTACAGTAATATTCTCTTTCTTGACTATTAGGTTCAGACAGATGAGCTGTATGAGAAAGCAACACCTTACCGCTTCGTCAATGATAAGTCTCAGGTGAGTTATTAGCTGTGGCTATGGTGAATGTTGAGACAAGAAAGGAACCATCTGAGATGTGTAGAAACTGAATATCTGACAGTCACCATTGATATACATGATGGATAGTGACTGAGTGATTACTGATACTCATCTAGACCTTTAGTCAGCATTACATGTGAACAAATCTCTTTTGGTTTGTGTACTGACTATTGAATTTAACATTTTTCCTTAGAATGAATAATTGCATTCATGTTTCTCTTTTATAGCAGTAACATGAACTAATTTGTAGGCCTGTACAAGTGACCATCTCTACATTATAAGGGCCAGTAATATTAATGGCCATTGGTCATATACTTACGAAAAATGAATAGTAACAATGATAAATTGATAACAGTTCACATTGATCCTACTTTTCTTTGATGTTACTTGCATTCTGTTGTGTTCTGTCCCTTTATTTTCCATGACTCTGACCAACACTAACACCATCCTAACATCTCAATGCAACTTCCATTTCCAGGAGTACCAGGTGAATGTATTTTTATGGCGTGGTTCAGCAGCTTGCTGCAGTCAGCTGATAAAAAAATTACTTAATTTCCTGTAACACACCACACCGATTTAATTTCTTGTCTCTTGGATATGTCACTTCATTCTTTTGTGCTTTGAAAGAAAAATAAAAAGTGCATGAAAAAAGCTGCATATTATTTGCAAATTAGGGTGAAATTTACTAATTTGGTACGGACAGTTGAAAAAGTTCTTATTGTTTCAGCTTAATTTCAGTTTAAAAATTAAAAATCCTTTATTTGAAACATCAACCAACGTTTTATGTTACCTGTATGCTAAACTGATTTCATGCAAAGAGTGAGAGAACTAAGAAATTAAATATGTGTGGACTTAATTTCACAATCCATATGTGCACAATGCAAATGTACTTCTTTCAGCAGCTTCCATACAAAAATATAAAACGGCAGTTCTGTTATGCGCTCAAGAGTGTATTTCTCTCTGATCTAAATTTTCACTGATCTTGTGAAAGCTTGTTTGCAGCTTTACTTTAAGTACTTAAAAGTGACTGAAGAGCACAAATAACTGGCACAAGCATAATGTGTGTGTTTGGGTGTGATATGCAATATTGTGATGGATTAATACATTTGTAGGGATGTTCACGGTTGTAGCATGTTGATAAATGTTTGTTATTGCAGGAATTGCGAGATTTTCTGGCAAGGGTAGAACCTATGCTTCATGCACAACTAGAGAAGAACTTACACAGCCATGCGTTTGATGGTGAGAAATGTTATCAACGAGTGTCAAGATATGGTCAGTTTGGAAGACTAGTGCATGTAGTCTGTTGTAATGGACAAGAAATAGTCCAATTTGGGGAGACTAGTTCTGTTACAGTTATGTCATTATTGAAGAAATTATCAGACTTTGAAAGACCGGTTATGGTTACTGTTGTCATGGACTATTGCTTGTTACAGTCTTACAGTCCTCCTTATTCCAATCTGTGTATGGTTTTGTCTCTCAGGTTATGATGTAAACTGGCATGAAGAAACCAAGACAGTGACCTGTGTCCACACATTGAGTCATGCAGACTTAGAACCTGGAGTAAGTATATTATTAACTGTGTATCCATCTAGTATACCTGGTAGGTGTATCAGACCTAATAATTAACATGAAAAATATATGTATTGTCTTTTGTAGACGTCATTTTCATTAATCTAAAATTCCCCACTGCAAAACTGTTAAGATTTGTCGCCAAAAGTAAGAGTGTTGTTTGTTCCTGTGTATCTGTGTGTGTATATCTGTGGGTGTCCCTGATATTAAATCATGCTGTGTGTGTCTTTCCACAGCTGAATGTGACAGGTCTATCATGGAACTCTACAGGCTCTACTGTTGCTGTGTCATATGGCAGGTTTGACCATGAGGACTGGTGCACACACAAGGTAAGACTTGTGGTTATTCCTTGCTAAATCCAAACTACATTGTACTAAGTATCCCATGTACTGAAAATTCATTTTAGTTCAGGGTTCTTACAGTTTGCAGCACAGTGGAAATAAAGAGAATTGATTTTACATTTGAAACATTTAAAGTAATAACACATATGTTCAGTGTAATGAGTTGAGAGAGGTCACTGTGAAAACTGCAATGTACAAAAGAGAATCACATTATACTACATGTAGTAATTTTCAGCAGTTTTCCAACAAGGTCAGAATCATATGGTATGGCAGCCATAACTATACTTTTTGATCAATATGGTGATTTTGTTTGTTTTTGCCTGTTCTTTATTCCAGTCCCTTCTCTGTACCTGGAACGTTGACAGAAAAAACATCAACCCAAAAAAGGCAGATGTTGCTGTGGATGTTTCTGTAAGTATTGTACATGTACAGGTTGGATGTTGGGTAGTGACACTACTTGTATAATATTCTTACCTGTATGTTATTTCCTGTGATGTAGTATATCAGAAGTGGAGCGTGTATACTAGATGTCCATGCTGATAACAACATTGGTCATATTCAGCACCACGGACATCTCCAGTAATACAGTCTTTTAATATGAGAACAGACAAGTTGAATTCGCACATCCTAATCCCATGTTTTCCTGCCTGTGTCCTGTGTAGAGCTGTCTGATGTGTGTGGCATTCCATCCTGAGATCCCAGCATTCATTGCAGGAGGAACATTCAATGGTAAGGTTGCCTGGAGATCATTATGGTCTGTCAGTATTTACCCATCCAGTCTCTTCAGGGTTGATTTCCAAGGGATCCTATGACAGGTAAACAGAATACAAACTGTCATATAACATAAAGTAGTAAAAATCAAACATAGGATGGATAAATCATATAAACAACTCAAAACAATTAAACAATAGCAACTCAAAATTGTATGGTGTTTTCTAATGATAACCATTAAAGTCTTTGGAATAAGGCAATCAGAGATGGCAGACTTTGCCCCTCTTGATAGTAAGCACACGCACACACAGATGCACAGATAGACAGACAACCCAAACACAAGACTTAACATCATCCAGTTGCTGTCCATGGTACTGAACACGGCCCCATATGTTCTCTCACCAGGTGAGGTTCAGCTATGGGACCTGAGTCAGCCTGATAATCCCCTGCTGGCATCATCAGGCATAGAGGATGACTCTCACAGGGATCCTGTGTCAAGGGTCGTCTGGGTCCTTGACCCAGAGGGCAAAGGCAAAAACAAGTACAAGGTGAACTTGCAGTACACTTACTAAAATTCATACTAGACAATTTAAACTTCACTACTGATTGAATAAAGAGACTACTTCTGGACATTTTGAGTGACAACCAGTACTCTTCTTAAATGTCACTTATCTTCATGTACCTGGTAAAAGAAACTGACAGAACTAGTCAACACTTATAAGGAACTGGAAAAAAATGGTTGAATGCAACATAGACTAAACTTGTAATTCTGTTGAAATTCTGTTTCTAGAAGAAGGGGTTAGAAATTTGTGAACCAAATAAATTGCATGGAAGAACTGTTGACTATTTTTTTTTTATCTTCTCCAGCTTGTCAGTATAAGTGGAGATGGAAAGATCCTGGTCTGGCAGGCTTCCCCACAGTCAAAGGAAATCAAACTCTTGGATGGGTGAGTCTTAGTAACAGACCATACATGGACTCAGACTTGAGCCACTGCCTCTGACCTTGTATCCACTCAGGATGCTATAGATTTTGCAGAATAACCATATCAAGCTCAGATATAATTCACATCAATAAAGTATAGTTTAGTAATAAGCCACCACAGCAGGACATGTGGGTAAGGAATTCCTAGGAGAGAAATGTCACTGTGGATCCCCTTGGTAATAAACAAAGTGGCAATCTGAGGGGGTTTGGCCCAGTGCATTAGGCATGAATAATTCACATGGTTTCTCTGATGAGCTTACAGATTAACTATGCAACATTCAGGGTCCCTTAGGATCCTCATTCATTCACCTTAATTAGGTCACCAATAGAAAACAACTGCATTTTGTAATTATGCATTTCTCTGGTCTAAAAGCTGCTCTAAGTAGCATTTGCATGTTTTGGGTTCAGCTTAGAAGGCCCCAGTGTTCTGACTTTGGCACTTAACAGCAATTCCTTGTTTGACCCAACACAAAACTGAGTCATCTAGGATGAGACGTATAGCAGGAAGTGGAACTTAACACGCCACAAAACCGCCTTTTCCCCCCTATTACTAAAAGAAATGTGAACCTGATCATTGATTACATCAATGTATGCACATATTGATAGTCTGTTACAGTACTACATTTCAAGATACATGTATATTTATTTAGACCTTGGTTTCATATGAATTTTCCTTTTAAATATCTATCTGAATGTTGATACCAGTTGTATGCCTTTCAATGATCCTTCTATGTTAATTTTCCAACAATCTTTGTATTTTCAGGTTCCTGTTGCTGGCAGAAAGCATGCCCAGAAGT